AGAATTGAAAACATACTTAACTTTATTTTATTCTTATTGACACATTTTACATTGGTATTACTCATCTGTGCTTCACATTAGCCAATCAGAACGACTTGTCGTTTACATTACTGTTCTGAGTGAATTTGACGTGTTAGTGTTCATATTGCAATGACTATCAGAGTGTATCTTTTGAAATAATTTTGTATGCCAAATATTTGTCGTAATTTATTTCGAATTGTACACATGACATGAACATCTCGAAAATGACATATTATTACAATTGTCTAGTATTGTATTTTCCCAGCAATTCAAATATCAAGTAATGAAGGGGAATCTTAGTACGAATGTCGTCAATATATGCGTGTGTCTTACCATGTAAGAAACGCCACATAATCATCGGTGTCCGGGGTAGTTACACTCAGCCACTTACCGACATTTTTAAAGTGACATATCAGACCAGTGGTGCTGTACCGATATAAGATATTCTGTACACAGACTTTGGCATGACAGCCAAAGTGACATTGATCGTTTTTTCAAAGATTTCCACATTTCAGCAAATCTACATCATAACTGTATCGGATCTGGAGCTAACCCAGTAATACTCGCACAACCCTCAAAATAATAAAACGAAATATGAAAAACTTTTTTACAATTCACTAGTAATATTATTTTTCTTATAATATTAACACGTCACCAGTTCAAAAGTACAATTTATTACAATGCTATAGATAACACTTTTAAATGGAAAATACTAGTTACGTGTTGAACTTCTTTAGCGAGATTCTATCCAGTCTAGCTTTTAAGCTTACACTTGTCACTTCATTGTATCAAAGTTATGTTCGACGTGATTATACAACACCAACATTGCTAAGTAGGTGTTTTTAACGTTCTTTCACTCAAACTTAGGGCAACATTTCTAATAATAATTGCTATATCCCGGTACATTGATTCCATAAACTAGAAGATAATGTATTCGTAGTCACAATAAAATGACATATTTAACTCTCCGATATATTGGAAATGTCTGTTTAGAGCAAAGTATTAACTGATTGAGACATTTACGTACATGTCATTTTGATGGTAATTACGTAACACAATGGATAACTCAATATAATGTGTGATTAATGAAATCTTCGTTTGTTTCTAGGGTAGTTTGTAATCATAATGTACGATATGGCATAACAATTGAAATTCCTTTTTCAGATTCGAGAGAACTGTCTGGGCGTCATTCGCACCTTTTTATTGTATTTAAGTATATAACAAGTAATATCAAGCATCTAAACAACATGTCTGCAAACAAATCTATGATCATATGTAGATTGCGGTAGTGAGGGGGAAAGATGACTGGGAAATAACACAAGTATAAAGTGAACCAAATGTACTTGTATACATTATCCTGTGGAAATCTTAGAGGCTGGGTTGTATTATGTCATGTGTAAAATGATTTTCAGGAAAGTTGAAATGTTGTGACGAAGGTCTGCTCTCTTGTGATAGCCTAGACATTTAACATGCGCCGTGAACTTGTTTGGATACAATGCTCTTATCAACTTTAGCAATGAACAAAACAACCGTTGGAGGCTGTTTCCCGCAGCTCAATTTGTTGTATTACAAAACTATGGGACGCCTGTGAGTTAAAATGTTTCTATGGCAACTGCAGTTGATCTACAGTCTGCTGTAAGCTCACAAAGTGCATGTTTTGACCCTGAACATCTCAACATCAACATTTCATGCCAGCTTTTTAAGGAGCTTCTGACATTCTAGCAAAAGAACCACCCTAAAACAGTGTTTCTTTTTATTGTTGTCTATTTCCATTATTATTTCATTTCTTTCCGGTTAGTTTTTGTTTTTTTACCAAAGGTAAAAAAAACTAGAAATATTTATTTACTAAATATGTGTTAGAATTAAAAAAA